TCTATAAATTCAATGCAATTGCTATCAAATTTTCAATGGCCTTTTTTGAAAAAAAGAAATGGAAATGACTATTCTCAAATTCATATGGAATGCCAAGGGTATCTGAATAGCCAAAACAATATTGAAAAAAAATGGAAAACTCAGATGTCCTAACTTCAAAACTAACTAAAATGGAACAATATAACCAAAACAGTGTTATTCTGACCTAAGGATGACAAACAGACCAAAGGAATAGAATTGAGAGTTCAGAAATAAACCCAAACAGCTTTGTTTGGCCAACTGAATCTTAACAAGGATGCCAATACCAGTCTATAAAGAACATGGTCTCCCCAACAGGAGGTGCTGGGAGAAGCTGGTGACTACATGCAAAAGAGTTGAGTTGGACCCCTGCTTTACTCCATACACAAAATGTAACTCAAAATGGATCAATGACATAAATGGTAAGAGCTGAAGGGATGGAGGAGAAGGGGACAACAGAAGATGAGATGGCTGGATGGCATCACTGACTCGACGGACATGAGTTTGAGTAAACTCTGGGTGATGGACAGGGAGGCCTGGTTCATGGGGTCACAGAGAGTCAGACATAACTGAGCAATTGAACTGAACTGAACTGAAAGCTCTAAAACTATTAGAAGAAAACAAAGGTGTAAATCTTCGTGACTTCAAATTAGGTAACAGATTCTTAGACTTGATGCCACAAGCACAGGAACAAAAGAAAAAATAGGTAAATGGGACTTTATCAAAATGTAAAACTTTTGTGTGTCAAATAACATTATCAAGAAAGTAAAGAAATTCTACAAAATGGGAGAAAATATTTGCAAATCATACGTCAGATAAAAGTTCTGTATTCAGAATATACAAAACAAAAATTCTTACAACTCAAAAATAAAAAGACAAATAGATCAACTGAAAAACAGGACAAGGACTTGAAAGGCCTTCTCTAAAGAAGATATACAAATGGACAATAAGCACATGAAAAGATGTTCAACATCGTTAGTCATTGAGGAAATGCAAGTTAAAACCATAATGAGATTCCACTTCACAATAGTTAACAATTAAAATGGAAAGTAAGAAGTGCTGGCAAGGATATGGAAAAACTGGAACCCTTCTATACTGCTGGTAGGCATGTGAAAAGTACATAATGTACAGCCACTGTGGACAACAGTTTGAGGGTTCCTCAAAAGGTTAAAACATAGAATTACCATCAGTGAATCAGTGAAAGTTGCTCAGTCATGTCCAACTCCTTGCGATCCTGTGCACTGTAGCCTGCCAGGCTCCTCTGTCCATGGAATTCAATTACCCTATGACACAGCAATTTCACTCCTAGGTATACACCCAAAGTTGGAAAAGTCTGGGTATAAATAGAAGGAAGAATGGTAGCTGAGGATAAAGAGAGAAAGAAATGGTTGTGCAAGGAGGAAAATACATATTACACTGCTGCTGCTGCTGCTGCGTTGCTTCAGTCATGTCCGACTCTGTGCGACCCCACAGACGGCAGCCCACCAGGCTCCTCTGTCCATGGGACTCTCCAGGCAAGAGTACTAGAGTGGGTTGCCATTGCCTTCTCCCAGTATTACACTGGTCTCTTCTAAAAGAGTCCCAGAGCAAGAGATGATACTGTCTGTTAGCTCAAAAATACCAGATGTCTGAAATTGCAATGAACTGCTGCTTTCAGAAACTGACAAAGTTGGATGGAAGCCAGAAACTGACAAAGTTGGATGGAAGCCTAAAAACTTAAGTGGCATGGCTCTGGGAGATACTTTAGTCTTACAGTATAATGATGAGTTGGACTAATTATTCAAGCCTGTGAGGGTCTCTACTAATGTGTCACTATTGACTCTTAACATTTCAGGTTATATCTACCCGTCACCCTGCACTGTGATGTGACACTAACCTTGTTAAGATTCAACTATACCATGTCTTGTGGTAATACTAATGTTGATAAGCACATGATGAAAAATGCTGAACTGGATGAAGCACAAGTTCACTGGAAGAATCAAGATTGTTGGGAGAAATATCAATAACCTCAGATATGCAAACGATACCACAGTTATGGCAGAAAGCAAAGAAGAACTAAAGAGCCTCTTGATGAAAGTGCAAGAGAAGAGTAAAAAAGCTGGCTTAAAACAATATTCAGAAACCTAAGATCATGGCATCTGGTCCCATCACTTCATGGCAATTAGATGGCGAAACAATGGAAACAGTGACAGACTTTCTTATCACTGCAGATGGTGACTGCAGCCATGAAATAAAGACGCTTGCTCCTTGGAAGCAAAGCCATGACCAACCTAGATAGCATATTAAAATGCAGAGACGTTACTTTCCCAACAAAGGTCCGTCTAGTCAAGGCTATGGTTTTTCCAGTGGTCATGTATGGATATAAGAGTTGGACTATAAAGAAAGCTGAGTGCTAAAGAATTGTTGCTTTTGGACTGTGGTGTTGGAGAAGACTTTTGAAAGTCCCTTGGACTGCAAGAAGATCCAACCAGTCCATCCTAAAGGAAATCAGTCCTGAATATGCATTGGAAGGACTGATGCTGAAGCTCAAACTCCAATACTTTGGCCACCTGATGCAAAGAACTGACTAATTTGAAAAGACCCTGATGGTGGGAAAGATTGAAGGTGGGAGAAGGGGATGACAGAGGATGAGATGGTTGGATGGCATCACCAACTCAATGGACATGAGTTTGAGTAAACTCTGGGAGTTGGTGATGGACAGGGAGGCCTGGCGTGCTGCAGTCCATAGGGTCGCAAAGAGTTGGACACGACTGAGCATCTGAAATGAACTGATTAGCAAATATACTGGGAAGCTGGGTTAAAGCCTCCTCAGGATGTATAATACTGATGGAAAAATAACTTCCCTGAGGAAGAACAGGATTAGCAAACCATCAGCTAACTCCTATGCTAAAGAGTTTTGTACAAGTTTATTTTAAGGTACAAACGTAATCTTATCAGAATGGGCTGCCATTCCCTTCTTCGGGGATCTCACAACCCAGGGATCAAACGTAGGTCTCGTGCATTGTGGGCAGATTCTTTACCATCTGAGCCACCAGGGAAGCCCAATAAATGAAGAAGGGACTAGTAATTAGTATAGAAGTTTGAGAATATAAGTAAGACTTTTTAGAGCACATTAGTTTTTTTAGCCTACCCCTACCCCTAAACTGAGCCCTCCAAAAGTTAGGCATATTCACAATGTTACCACCAGGCTCATAGAAATGCAGTAGAAGTGATACTACATGGATTTTAAAGCTAAGGTATACCAGGCAACACATTTTCCACCTGGCTCTCTCAGTCTCCTGGAACGCTCAAGCACTGACCCCAGCCACCTTGCTTGAGGAAGCCTAAACTAGCTCATGTGAAAAGACCACATGAAGATGCCCAAATGGAGAGGAACGGGAGCCCACTGTCCAACTTCCTGACAGTGGATATCATAAATGCTCACTGTATGTCACTAAGTTTTAGGGTAATTTATTACACACCCATCAATAACTGAACAGGGCTCAAGTAATTTACAACCTAGAGGGAGAGACAAATAAAGATACAAACAACTAACAAAAAGCAGGATGTGATCATCACTATGCAGAATGTAAACAGAAGGCCTTGAGAGAGGACCATAAAAAATAAGTTTAGCTAAGCACGGCTCAGCTGGTAAAGAATCCACCTGCAATGCAGGAGACCTGGGATCGATCCTTGGGTTGGGAAGATCCCCTGGAGAAGGGAAAGGCTACCCATCCCAATATTTTGGCCTGGAGAATTCCATGGACTGTACAGTCCATGGGGTCACAAAGAGTTGGACACAACTAAATCACTTTCACTTTCTTTCAAGGGATAGAACAGAGGGGGAAAAATGAGAAAGGCTTCACAGAAGTGATCTTCAAGCTATGGCCTAAAAGACACACAGAACTTTGCAGGAAAACAACAGCAGTAAGAAGGAAGGTGCAGGAGAAACTTGGTAACAAAGTGGCATATCAAAAAAAAAACAAAAACAAACAAACAAACAAAAAAAAACAAAGTGGCATATCATATGGAATTCTTCAGAGACAGAAACTGAACTTCTGGTTTACACAATGTCTAATATTGAAACAGTATCAAACTATCTGAAGGACACTGTAGGAAATGTTCCTCTGAAATGAAACAAGGTGGAGTTCTAAAGACTGACCTTAATCATGAGAAATTATTAGATTTCTTGCTGTTTAATCTTTATGCAAAGGGCTAACTCTGACCCCTAAGAAATGAAAGCCACTTATCAGTGCTTCCTTTGATGTACTGGCCAAGGCAAAACCCAGTACCTCGCTTGCTCACTGTCCCAGACCCAGTATCAGCTTAATGACAGCAATTCTCCACACTCAGCGTTCTCTGGAGTTGTAGGGGTGATTTTCAGGGAGGCACTGATCTTGAACCTAAATAAAAAGAGCCAGCACCTAATAACAGCCATAAAAAGCTGAGAAAATTAATAAGCTGCTTTAATCACTGAAATTTACCCTGACTTTTCTGATAAGGGCCTAAAGATTATATCTACAGGCAACAGGCTGACAAGCCAGGAAATAATCACTACTTACCAAACCAAATCAAAGCACTGAGCCCTTCAAGCTGCTCGGCAAGTAGAAGCACGCAGTCTCTCTGAGCTGCCTGCTGGTGGTCTTTTTAGCAAACTCACCTTCGACCTGGGATCCCTCTCTCTAAACCAGTGCCTGCGTGCTCAGTCGCTTCAGTTGTATCCAACTCTTTGTGACTCTATGCACTGTAGCCCACCAGGCTCCTCTGTCCATGGAATTCTCCAGGCAAGAATACTGGAGTGGGTTGTATGCCCTCCTCCATGGGATCTTCTCCATCCAGAGATCGAATCCACTTCAAACCTGCATATCCTGTGTCTCCTGCACTGCAGAATTCTTTACTTGCTGAACCACTGGAGAAGCCCCACTAAATCAGACTTCCTCTTAAGACGATCAGGAAGGCAGTCCTTAAAAACCCTGATACTTTAAAACTGTTGTTCTCCTCACCTCATAAAACTTTTTTAAGGAGCCCACCAGGCACAGCTTCAGGCTATCCACAATCTCCTGATGAGGCATCTGGAACACCACTCGTGAGTACCATTTTGTGAGGGTGCTGGGGCAGAGGTGGGGAGAGAAGAAAGAGAAAAGATGAACACACATTTACAGAGGAAGGACTACATCTGAATGTCAGCACACACAGGCTTCTCCATGTATCAGTCACACAAGTATCCAGCAAATGCATTTATGTTACATGTAAAATCACACGCTAATGCAGAGAAAACAAACATGTAAACCAGCTACAGAATATAAATAATGGATATTTGCTACCAAACTGCTTTTAATTGAAAAAAAAAAAAACAGCTAGATATCTACCTACAGAGGACTAGTTAAATAAATAGTGCTGTAGCATATAATAAATTCCATGCAGCAACTAAAAAGAAACAATGGACATTTATTTATATTGATATGGGAAAATGTCCAAAATATATAGTTTAAATACACAAAAAATGAGGAACAGTATATATAGTAACATGCCACTTGTGTGTGTCCACCAGCTACCTAGAAGTGTTAATATATACATAAAAGAGAACCTAAAAGTATATATATGTCAAATCTTTGGTGGTGGTTAATAAAAGATAAGCCATGAGGAATTTTCACTTTCTCAATTTCCAGAAATTTTGCATGAGCAAGCTTCATTTTTATAATCAGAAAAAAACAAAACCCCTCATTTCTGGGGGAAAAAAATCCACTGCCACCAAGACACAGGCTCCATTCTGAAAGGGATTACACTGCAGCCAGGGAAGAAACTTACACGTGTGACAAGGGATTGCACAAATTGATATTATAGGAAGAGAGAGGAGGAAGGATTTTAGAATACTTTTACTACAATATTGAATACTCAAAATATTTTATGGCTTTATAGTAAGACTAGGTATTAAAATGAGGTAACCAAACACGACAGAGCCAGGAGTGGCACTCACAGATTGATGCTTGCAACGAAGCCAACAACGGAGCGCATGCCTCTGCTGGGGTCGTGGTAAACATCCATCCCAATCACCATCAACCGTTTCTGGGTCAGAAAGCAAAAACAAACCGCAACATCCAAGTAATCCGTCAGCCCACCTTGAATTGCTGTCTGAACCCCAAAGCAACATATGAAAGTAAGTTATGGGGAGGGGGGGGGAAAGGGTACAACCAAACTGATGTTTTTAAACACTGTGAACAAAGTCAGAGATTGTCAAGATCAGGGATTGACAGACTGTCTACAAAGAGCTAATCAGTAAAGACCTTAGGCTTTGTGAGCCACACCATCTCTAGGGAACTATGTAATTCTGCCACTGCAACACACAAGAAGCCACAGGTTGCAGTACATAAAGGAATAAGGCTATGTTCCAATAAAACTGCATTTAAGGACAGTGAAATCTGAATTTCATATCATCTTCGTGTGTCTGGAGATATTAAGTCTTATGTTGATTTTTCTCACCATTCAAAAATGTGAAAGCCAGTCTAAGCTTTTGGCCTATACGAAAACAAGCAATGAACCACTCTGATTACTAGGCAATGAGAATATGGAAAACTCTGGGAGGAAAATTAGGAAAACAGCCAGGCAGGACTGTTTGGGGAGATGAACTGAATAAAGAAATATCTCAGCAGCACTCACCAGAGGAATATCCACTCCCCAGAGCTCACCACCCAATTTACAGTTAATCTGAAGTAAAATTTTCTGGGCCACACTTCGAAGCCTGGTGGGCTGACCAATGGTTCGGACATTGATGACCTGTAATAGAGGGACCAAAAGGTATGGGCAAAGAGGACACTAGCAACCTTTCAGACAATGTAAACTACTCTAAAGCAAATACTACATTTGCTCAAGAAACTCCAGCTGGCAGATAATTTACTTTGCACTAACAGTTCTAACACTAACTGGGTCTCTAGTCAGGCATGCGTGTACAAACATGTGCACACAAAATGCAAATGAAAACCAAAAAAACCAGCCAATAAAAACTTTCAAAAATATCTCATGCAAAGTAAAAAAAAAATTAATCTCCATAGGAAAAGTCAGCTTTCCCGTTTCAAAGGGACGCCTATACTCTCAGAACCCAGTCATGTGAAACAACCTGGTGACTTGGCTGTGAACAAGCACAAGGGCTCATGTGGGAACATGAAAGCAGTATTTACAAAGAGCATCTGCTATTCGCCAGGTTACTCTAATAGAGGAAGTTTCACCAGCTGGGTCCACACACGCTGGCTTCTAATAGTGACGTCAGTCTTTTTGAACACATTTATCCCTCTTTTCCAAGCCTCGAAGGAGGCTAGAATTTCCATCTGTGCCTCCTGCCCAGCTCCCACTCACCTGTGAGGGTACAGGAGTCTGCACACAGCACAGCTTTTTAATGGCCCCATAGAGGTCGTCACGTGTTCCCATGATGATGCAAACAACCATCTGTATCTTCACCTTGAGGAGATAAAGTATTTATCAGTCAGGCTTTGGAACTCTGAGGGGACCCTGATAGGGTTCTAGTCAGGGGCAGTTCAAGAGTCTGGAAAGCCAGAGGACCTTTAGTGTATAGTGGGGGCTGAAACAAAGATGGTGGACATTCCAACACAGACAAAGGTCTGTGAATGGACCTTTGGGTTCACATTTGTTCGGTTCCAGGCTTCTTTGCTTAGTTATATAACATGCTATGTCAAATTATCTACAGCTGATCCTGATTACCTGACTTATTCATTAGGAGACTTAAGATGCCTGCAAAAGACCAGACTTAAAAATATGAAAGGGTTTCTTATTAGTTGATGTTTCTAATTCCCAACAATTTTTTTTTTTTGTCACTCTCTTTAGTTAAACTAAGTGTATTATGACATTAATGCCACAGAACTTTAACTAGGAAATAGGGAACATAATACCAGAAGAAAGAATTCAGAGTCAAATGCAGAGGAAATGAAGTCACTGCCAAATCCATAAGAAGATCTTCCTAACTCTCTGATTAGGAGAGAGAAAAATACTGCCAGCAGATTATCTTATATCAGTATCTTCTACCTCTCACTACTTAAGAGATCCGATACTAAAACAAAGGATCTGACATCCCTGGCGGTCCAGTGGTTAAGATTCCACGCTTCCACTGCAGGGGGCTTGGGTTTGATCCCTGGCTGGGGAACTAAGGTACCACATGCCGTGCAGTGTCGTTAAAAAAATTGAAAAAAATTAAAGTAAGAGAGGAAAAAAAGAGGCTCTTTCAAAATCTGAATAAAGGAAAGCAGCACAGAAGTAAAATAAATTTGCCAACCTTTTATGCCAGAATCAGAAATCAATAGTATACTATTCCAAACCAGATTAGTTTTAAATTAAGATCTTTCAGAGGAAACACATTCCAGCAATCATATCAAAGAACTTCCAAAGTCACAGAGAACAAGGGCTGTACACTGTAAGCCTGTGGGCTGGATCTAAGAAACGGATGTGGTTTTTTAGTCTCATTTATAATGAGTCACAAGTCTTTTTTACATTAACATTTAAACATAGGTAGATAAACACATGTGCAAATCTAGATTTTTGGCTTCTATTGAAAAACAAATTAAAAATAAATTTGACAATGCTAGGCTGTTATCTGCAGTCATGGGGTTTACTCTCTTTATTCACTAGAGTCCCCTCCTGGCTCACTTCACTCCAGTAGACATCTGAGTTTATGACCCTGAAACAAAGAGAAAAATGAAACACAATGCCCTAAAGATGACAGATAGTAAGACTAATACGACCAAGTAAGACCAAGTTACATTAGGAATGTAACTCATATCCATGTCAATATCCATGAAGATTGTTGGCAGTGTACTCTCATAAAAGGAACATGCCAAGTCATGAGATGGGGGAGCTGAGGTGCTAAGGTGGACTTTTCTTCTGAAAGCAAGGCAGAATTTATCAGGCCCAGGGAAGGCCACTGCAGAGTAAGCAGCATGGAAAGTCAGCAAGAAAATACAAAGAAAGGGAAAACAGGAGTGTGCTGCTACAGACGATACACCCAGAGGGGTGGATCAAGAGAAAGTCATGATGCAAACACAGCCTAATTCTAGTACTGATCTCACATGAACTGACTCTTCAAGGACCAGTTATCTCCAAAATTTTTTGCCTGCTTTTGCTCCCTCCTTAATCTTCTTCCTTTGCTTTATGCACAGATAAGAACTGTAGGCCTGAACTACAAGCTGTGAATACTTCGGCTTGCTCAGCTCTAGTGGTGCTGCTCGGCCATCAGGAACAAGCCCCTGCCAAGTTCATCACCGGTGCAATTTGGATCTTAAGCCAGACCAGACTGTGACAGCTCAGCACTGAATCGTGCAAGACGGCACCTGGCCCAGGAAACTGCTTTCTGTGCACAACCTGTGCTATAAAGATAACACACCGAAGTCAAGTCAGCTGTTCTCTCGGTCGATGACACGAGGAACAAACAGGACACTAGAGAGAGCGCCAACACAGGACGGAAGCAAGCCCAGCCGAAGGGACGAAGACGACCATAAACTCCGTGCTCCACGTGCTTGTGAGTGAGACGCAGGCTCCTGGACACCATTGACAGCAGGCCAGCGACCACGGCGAGATAAAATCAAGTACTCAAGTATTTCAAAATGGGCGTCCAGAAACTTGACTCAAGTTAAGTTATACCTCAACCCCCAGCATGGACTGAATGGTTCTGACATAGGTCTCTATGCGGTCATCCTTCAGTTCCACCCAGGCTGGTGGGCTCACACGCATGCCCATGGGGCCAGCTATCTTCTCCAACATGTTCACCAGCTCTCGGGCTTGATCCATTGCTCTCTTTGGGTAAAACAGTGCCCAGAAATGCATGGGGACCTAGGAACAACCACAAGCTATTTTTTAGTACTTCCCATGACATCTCCGACACTCCGACATCATTTCAGGAGATGTTACTCCAAAGAACAAACTGCTTTTCACTCTTTCTGCTTCAGTCCTGTCTCATCTAATGCCAATTACTAATGCAGATGTGTGTGATAAGTACACTGTGGCAGGCTCACAATGGAATACTATGCAGCAATGAGAATGGAAGCTCTGTAACTACACTTAATGATATGGAGAAATTCATCAAGCAAGGTTGAAGAAAGGAAGGCAGATATGGAAGAATATATAAAGTATGGTTCCATGTGTATGTTATGTACAAACACAGCTTTAAAAATCTCAATGCTGTTAGAGGTCAGAACAGTGGCCATTTTGGGACTATGTCAGGGTGACAAGTAGTAGTAATTAGGATCATGGAGGGAAGCTTCCGGGGCACTGGTAAAGTTCTGCCTCTTAACCCTCAGTATTGATTACTCGATTTGTGAAAATTAATCAAAACTATATATATCATTGGAAGGACTGATGCTGAAGCTGAAACTCCAATACTTTGGCCACCTCATGCAAAGAGTTGACTCACTGGAAAAGACCCTGATGCTGGGAGGGATTGGGGGCAGGAGGAGAAGGGGATGACAGAGGATGAGATGACTGGATGGCATCACTGACTCGATGGACATAAGTGTGAATAAACTCCGGGAGTTGGTGATGGACAGGGAGGCCTGGCATGCTCCGATTCATGGGGTTGCAAAGAGTCGGACAAGACTGAGCGACTGAACTGAACTGATATATAGAAGTGTACCTTTTATTTAAATATATTGCCAAAAAACATTTTTGAAACAAAGTATGTATACTTTATGCATGGCCATAGCAACCAGGTTAGCAAAAAAGATTTTAAAATAATTATATACCATCGTTTTCTTTAGTTGCCTTGGTGGGAAACTGTTTTAATTTTACTTCTTTCATGGAAACTGTAGGGGAAAAGAGGAAGGAAAGAGAAAGGAAGAAGGAAGAACAAAGAGCAGTTGGCAATAGGCTGGCACTGTATGAATTACCATAGCAATTTATTTCTTTGTCCTGAATCTATGGTCAAGCAAAGGGCTTACCTCTAACAACTCATCAATTTGCTCTTGTTTGAAGGACCTTAGTTTAGTAAGTAATTCCATGGGAATTCAGTTGGTACTTCCTCTCAAAAAGAGGACACTAAATAATTTCTGCTTCCTTACACTTCTAGGAATAGTAGCCCTCTCTTTACCACCTCACAAATCACTTACAGTCAAGATGGAAAGGTCTCTGGTTACTTCCTTAATCCAGTTTAGTTCTGGGGATGTGATAAATGACATATTTCTTAAGTTAATTCTTTCCATTGGCAGAACACGTCCTTCAATCTAAACAGAAAATAAAGCACCTATGACATGAACCATCTGCAAACATTAGTTAGAAAAATGTTCAGAGGCCTGGTCTACTCTACTATATACACCTGTTCCTGTCATAACTTCAGAAAATGGTAGAAAAATGCAACTGTTAGCAGTTAAGAATCCATGTCAATAAAACTCTGAACACACACAGTTTTAATAGGCACTGCCTTTTAATTACTGAAGCTCCCAACATGGTCCCCAAGAAAGGGATCAGAAAACATTGTGTTTTTAGAACCATAGAAGGAAGGTAAAATGCCTATAAATTCAAGGTGAACAGGAAAATAATATTTAGAAAAATTTAAGTAGAAAATTAAAGAGAAAATGACATAATAAGACTGAGCATAAGTTACCATTAAACTTTATACAAAAGAAAAACAGGGAAAAAAAATTCATATAATGAAAGACCAAATTAAAGTGAAGAATAAATAAATCAGATCTAAATATCCAAAAGTAACAAGGTAACTAAATTGATGATGTATCTATACGATGGATATTTTGTGACCATTAAATCACTTTCTAAGTGCACTTTTTTTTCCTGTTTTTGCAAAAAATAAACAGCAATGTATACATTATAAAAACTGAATTGAAGAATGAGTCAAGAAGATCCCCTGGAAAAAGAAATGGCAACCCACTCCAGTATTCTTGCTGGGAAATACCATGGACAGAGGAGACTGGAGAGCTACAGTCCACGGGTTCATGAAAGAGTCGGACACAACTTAGTGACCAAACAGCAAAGGAGTCAGACTCATCTTTGCTTACGAAAGTAAAAAACTGCTGAAACTGTCTGGCAAAATAACAAAAAATACTGGAAACATAAATATATATGTCCACTGACCTAGCAGTTTCCCTTCCATAAATCTGTGAAAATAAACATCATGTGCAAAGATAATTATAAGGATGTTCACAGATTCATTTTCATAGGAAAATGCTAAATTCAATTTGAATGTAAAAGAATAAGAAATTAGTAAAATGAATTATCTGTTATCCATTAAAATATTCAGAAAAATATTAAATGAAAAAACATTACAAATAAACTGAATAAAAAAAGAGGAAACCACTTAAATACATACCACATGTGAGTTATGTGCATGTACACACACACAGACCAAAAACACTAAAGGTTATATACCAAAATGTTAACAGTGGTTACAGGTATTCTGATATAGCATGACTATGGATAAACATTTTTCTTCTTTGGTTTAAGTTCTCTACATCTTCAAATAATATTTAATAACATGAACACATGTTCAAGATACAATAATACATTAAAAAGAAGACACAAAACCATATATAGTATAAGCACAATTTTATAAGAAAAGATTCACACTTATAGGAAAAAAGTTTATGGAAACAAAATATAATGAAAAGAATACTGTCTTTTTAATGTGCCTAAAATAAATCACTAAGATATTATCTTTGGGTGATGAAACTATTGATGTTTTTATTTCCTTCTTTACATTTTCTATATCCACATTTTTCTTATTGACTTTCCACTACTTTTGTTAAAAAAAAAAAAAGAAAAACAATTTCGGGACTTCCTTGGTGGTCCAATGGTTAAGAATCTGCCTGGCAATGCAAGGGACAGTGGTTTGATCCCCGGTCTGGGAAGATCCCACATGCTTGGGGATACCTAAGCCTGGGCACCCCAAACAGCGAGCCCATGTGCTCCAAGTACTGAAGCCTGCATGCTCTAGAGCCCAGGCCCTGCAACAAGAGAAGCCACTGTCAGGAGGAGCCTGCGCAGCACGACAAAGAGTGGCCCCCGCTCACTGCAACCAGACAAAGCCTGCGCACAGCCACAAAGATCCACCACCACCAAAAAATAAAATAAATATTAAAAAAAATTTTTAACAAGGAGTCAATTCAGAGTGAAAGAGAACAAAAGATAGAATTAATTATTAGTATTTTAGGTATAACCTAGAGAAAAAAGTAAAAAAGCAATAAAAGCTAGTATTTACTGAACATGTGCTATGTGTCAAATATTATGCTAATGATTTTACCATGTAATTCTGTTAACTTAATATCATCTTTATTTAATAGATAAAGAAACTATGAGATTCTAAGCAATTTATTTCAAGTAACCAACAAGGCAAGAGGCAGAACTGAGGTTCAAAGTCAAGGACTTCCCCACCTCATGCTGCCCCTGCATTATGTCTCCTGCTGCATAAAATACAATGGAGTGGACTCAGACAAACTGCAGGCAGAAAGGGCCATGTGAAAATTAAAATGCACAAGTCTGAGACTTTATGCCAATGGAAACAACAACAGTACTGTATTCAAAGAAACACAATTTAATCATCGGGAAAGAAAAACTTGCAATGGGGGGAGAAAAAGACTTTAAGAATAATTTGGGCTGGAAAACTAAAAATGAGGTAAATTTTGAGGATCAATATTCTTTTTGCTTGACTAGAAATTAACAACTCAGATCTCAGGAAATACAGAGGAAAATCTGTAAGAGCTAATAGCAAATTAAGTCAAGAAAATTCAAATATTGTGACTAGGACCAAATAAAAAGTATAATAATTAAGCAAAAACTGTAAAAGACAAGATATAGGAAGTTATCACCTAGTCTCAGAAAGCTCTAAATTCTTTGTTAATGCTATTTCCTACCATCATATTGTCCAGTTTACCTTATGTACATCATTCTGCAGATAGAGTCCCCAACGTGTCAGTTCACTGTTAGCTGTCTCATTTTTCGAAATTCTCTGTAGCAAGCATTCCAAAGCACTATGGTGCTGTCTGGGGCTCAGGTTGATCTGCTGGCTCAAATCCTGAACAGAATCAAAATGGAGACACTAAGCTATTACTTCTCCAGTATGAGATTAAAGAAACCCCAATGTAGAAAACATTTCCATAGAAACACCTTTTTCTCACTGAAATCTGTAGAAATTTTAAAGTGTCTCCAAGGACTTTATTATAATAGCTCATGAAAGTGAATGAAGTATAAGGTTAAAATTTTAGCCATAAAAGTAAGAATTTTTTAAATTGAAGTATAGTCGATTTACAATGTTGTGTTAATTTCTGCTGTAGAGCAAAGTGATTCAGTTACACATATACATACACATAAATACTTAAAGTAAGTATTTAAAATTGTCACTGTTTCTTTCTCATGACATCCAAATCTTATTCTCTTTCTCAAAGCCATATAAGGGGACTTGACTATACCTATTTAACATTGGGGCAGGAAAATGCCCTATGCCAGGCACGCAGGCAAACATAAAATACATCTAGTCTTATACTTTATGTCATATGATACTAGTCACTTAATGTCACTATAAAACACTTGTTTGGTCCAGGGTGTGACCCATAATAGGTGTTTTCTAAATATTTATTGTTGAATGAACATCTAATGAGATGAAGATTCAGAATCATGTAAGTGAGCTCTTTCTTTAGCTTCTGGAACTAATGAACTGCGTGGCACTCATTAGGGCAGTGAGTCTATGGGGCTATACAGATAGCTCTGTGATCATTAAGTCATTAACTGGGAGTTGTAAGGAAGAGCCTTGACCTACATACTGAAAGCAGAAGTATCAGAAGGTAAACATGAAAGAACTCTTATAGGAATTCACTTTAGCTCTTTACGATGTTACTAAAAACAATTCATGGCATCTGAGACAAGCCCAGGGGTCCAAAACTGGGACACACAAGGACTGAGACAGAGGCAGCAGGGCAGCATGCAGGTGGAAAGACCCAAGCAGACAGTGTGGAAGTGGAGCCCTCAGGGTCTGGACCCATGCTGCTGCACACACCTCTGACTCCCAGCTACTTCCAGAACGCTGTGCCCTACATGAGACCTCCAGGACACCCAAGCTCCACAGCACGCACTTCTGTCCTCTAATTTCTTCCTCCAACTTGCTGACTTTTTGCTACATTATCTCCTCCATCCCTTCAAATAAACTGAAGGCTTACAGAATACATTAGAAAAATTCAGTGCTCTCAAAGAACGTCATTTGTGGTCACATGAACAGCCTACAGTCATGGATCAGATTGGTGAGGGTGATGTTAGAACTATTTGTATCCTTTTACCTTATAATCCAGTTGTTCTACTACTACAACAACATTCCAAAGAAAGCTCTGACAGGCTCTTTCACAGTGTGTGGGAAGAGACACAGATCACGCTTATGGAGAGGAAAAATGAACCTGCCCAGGTGACGATGCAAATCTGGCCCAATGCAACCCGTATCTCTACCAAAATGGTCTTCGGTTCAAAGCAGGCCCTTCTCACCTTCATGGCTCTGAAGTCCTTCTTCATCTTCTCAGGGATTCCAGTCATGAAGGAAAGCTCAGGGAGCAGCAGGATTTCACTTTTTAGCAACTTGGAGGAGAGAACAGAGGGAAAGCAAGGCAGTCAAAGAACATCCTGTTCCTCTGACTGGTATAAGACTTTGGCAGGCTCAAACTGGTCCCGCAGGGGTATAACAGGCACTCTTAGGAACACAAGACCCCAGAGAAGAGGGCAGGAAACACAACCAGTGTTTTATCCTTTTCTCACTTGGGTTACAATTGGCTGTTGCACTAGGTAAAGAGAAAAATATTCAAATTGTCAAAAGCAGAGGGAAAACTAGAAAAACTAAAACTACTTTTTCACTTGGGCCTCCAAGTAAGTAGGTGTATATCACACAATATATCCTATCAAGCTAGTGCCTCTGTCTCATCTTAACCTATTTTGATCTTCAGTCTCCACTCTGAAGACAGAGGAATTAGGTGTCAAGGTACTTTTCCCTGGTCCCTAACCCTGTTAAAATGTCTCCAGCTTCCCTAATGGACCCGGTGTTTCAATCTTCTTTAGCAATCAATTCTCCTAATTCCTTAACCTAACTCATTCTTTGGATGTTTAGTTCCTCACTAAGGGGACTTCAAGAGTACCTCTGGCTATAGGAGACAGACAAAGAATGCACAGCTTCCCTAACCACACTGTGAACACGCCTCACGGCTCCCAGCAGCTGATGGGCAGAGAATCTGGCAGGCAGCACCAGCCTGACACACACCAGCAACAGCACTCACCACCCCTTGGCTGTTCTGTCTCTCACTGGGCCTGTGGATCAGCAGCGGCTGGTCCTTTTCCTTTACTGTGATCCCATAGTTTTTGCTAGAGCAGAACAGAGGCAGGAAAAAACTGTCAGCAACACCACTCTTACTGCAACACAGTCTTGAGCATTAACCAGGACTGAGGTATACAATTTGTATTATACCCTTGTCCATCATTATATTATTATTATTTTTATTATTATATTATTATTACCCTTGTCCATCATTGTATTATACCCTTGTCCATCCATCAGAAACTCTGACCAGACTACATTCATAACTGGAAAAAGCAGGCTCAAGTTAATGTTGCAATTAAATAGAGAGGAAACAGGATAACAGCCCAGGAAAGAAATTCTTTAAAAACTGAATCAGGCCAACAAACAAAAAAAATCAAAATAAAAAACTGCATCAGGCCGAAGGGCTTGGGGAACTAGAAAGGCAAAATGACAGTCAAATGATTAATGACTTGAATTTAATCTCTCCAACCAGACTTCAAACAGAAAAGGAAACATAAATTTTAAAGCCCTGAGATTAATTTATGAAATAACTTACAAAAAATACTAAAGGAAATAAAACTGTAAGGGTAGCAAATTCAGGTCAAATCCCACAAACAAACTCGTCAATCTTGGGTATATTACCAATCCAATTACTTCTGACATGTCCTGCTACATGCCACTCTTACTGGAGAACGACAGACTACGCCCCAACCCGCAGACCCAAGCCCAGTCTCCTTCCTCTACCTGTAGTATTCCAAGAATGTAATCTCCTTCCCATCAGACATGGTGAAGCTATCTTTTGGAGTCTTGTTCCAATCCACATCATCGATACGATAGGTGCGATTGTTGTATCGGGTTATAACAATGCTGCCCACCAGAAGCTTAGTGCACTCGTCCTGGAAGCTTTCTTTGTTCTGCAAGTACATGGTGTGCCTTGGGAAAGAGACAAAAGGCCTCTAGATCACATGGGTATACACAGAGCAACATGAAAGGGACAGGGGATGCCTGTGAGTACTTGAGGGTTCCAACTGCCAACACCTAGCACCAAAAGGCTCCAGCTGTCTCTTTTAGGAGGCAGAACTCTCATCTCTTTTAAACAATGCCCCCCAAAAAGAGTGAAAAGATAATAACTAAAAAATTGATAAAATCCACTACAGTCCTAAAATAAGGTACTCTAATCATCAAAATGATCTGTATCATCATTATTAGGAGGCAGTCTACACAGAAACAACAGAACATTCTTAAAACTATATTTGCCCTCACTAGCTGAAGGAAGAAATTACAACTGTTGGAGGACCACACTCGCAAGGCAAAGAGGTGAAAAAAGGTTATCGAAGATGATCAGTGGAGGCTGAAGACAGACAGGGACCAGACACCAATTTCCTTGTGGGTCAGAGCATGGACTCTTCTGTGGGCCAGTGTCACCAGAGTATACTCCTCAGGAACACTGGTCCCTTGACAAGTCTTGAGGGAGTGAAAAAGGTTCTACATCAAAAAAATTGAGTCCATTCTTCATATTATAATCCCTTTCTAGAGGTTCACAACATACATTACCACATCAGACTGCTACAGAAAGAGAAACATGTTGAGTTTCATTCACCTGCAATTTACTAATAAACCCAGACTCCTCCCTGCCTTTTCCCTTTTCACTCCTTGAAGAACTATCACCACTCTAGGTGATTAGCATCCTGCTGAACTTGCTGCAGTTAAGTGATGAAAAACCATCAGAAACTTGAAATAGTTCACACTGACTACAGACCCTGGAGCCAAAACCTCGGTTGAAATCTTGGCTCTGCCACTAACCAGCATATGAGACTCTGAGCAAGTTACTTAACCTGCGCTTCAGTTTCCTTGTGTCAAAGTGGAGTCAGAACAAACTGCCTAACTCACTGTTGCTGACAGAACTCCATGACTTTATTCATGTAAAGCACTTAGAGCATAACACTGTGTTTTGAAATAAGATTAGAGGTTTTATCACAGCTCATTTCATGAATTTTTGCTTCCTATTTACAAAGCTATATTCAACAATACAACTATTTTTTAAAAATATTTTTAAATCAAACTCTTCAACTATGTTAATGGCTACATAACACTACTTCACTAAGTGGAGGGTACATTAATTCACTGGTCTTTTACTTTTTAAGTAGTAGTTCTATTGTTTCACTCTTACAAATAACTGACTGAACATCTTTTACAAAGATTCTTCTATACTTAAACCTGTATCCTTGAGACAGATTTCCTATAAGTGAATACCAGACCACCTGACCTGTCTCTTGAGAAATCTGTATGCAGGTCAGGAAACAACGGTTAGAACTGGACATGGAACAACAGACTGGTTCCAAATAGGAAAAGGAGTACATCAAGGCTGTATATTGTCACCCTGCTTATTTAACTTATATGCAGAGTACATCATGAGAAACGCTGGGCTGGAAGAAGCACAAGCTGGAATCAAGATTGCCGGGAGAAACATCAATAACCTCAGATATGCAGATGACACCACCCTTATGGCAGAAAGTGAAGAAGAACTAAAGAGTCTCTTGATGAAAGTGAAAGAGGAGAGTGAAAAAGTTGGCTTAAAGCTCAACATTCAGAAAACTAAGATCATGACATCCAGTCCCATCACTTCATGGCAAACAGATGGGGAAACAGTGGAAACAGTGGCTGACTTTTTTGGGGGGCTCCAAAATCACTGCAGATGGTGACTGCAGCCATAAAATTAAGACACTTACTCCTTGGAAAAAAGTTATGACCAACCTAGACAGCATATTAAAAGGCAGACGTTACTTTGCCAACAAAGGTCCGTTTAGTCAAGGCTATGGTTTTTCCAGTAGTCATGTATGGATGTGAGAGTTGCAATATAAAGAAGGACAAGTGCTGAAGAATTGATGCTTTTGAACTGTGGTGTCAGAGAAGACTCTTGAGAGTCCCTTGGACATTCAACCAGTCCATCCTAAAGGAAATCAGTCCTGAGTGTTCATTGGAAGGACTGATGTTGAAGCTGAAACTCCAATACTTTGGGCACCTGATGCGAAGAACTGACTCATTTGAAAAGACCCTAATGCTGGGAAAGACTGAAGGCAGGAGGAGAAGGGGACGACAGAGGATGAGATGGTTGGATGGCATCACCGACTCAATGGACGTGAGTTTGAGTAAACTCCAGGAAACTGGTGATGGACAGGGAGGCCTGGCGTACTGTGCTCCATGGGGTGGTGATGAGTTGGACACGACTGAGCAACGGAACTGAACTGGAAAACCAGGGAATTACTCACTTAGAAGGGGCTAATTTTATGGCACATTAATTATACCTCAATAATAAAAACTGAAATTAAAAAAAAGGCTTCTCATTATGGCAGTATGAAGATGTCAGCAATTCTTTTCTATTAACATGCTGCTGCTGCTTAGTCACTTCAGTCGTGTCCGACTCTGTGTGACCCTATGGACTGTAGCCCGCCAAGGCTCCTCTCTCCATGGAGATTCTCCAGGCAAGACTACTGGAGTGGGTTGCCACGCCCTTCTCCAGGGGATTATCCCAACCCAGGGATCAAACCTGGGTAGCCTGCATTGCAGGCAGATCCTTTATCATCTGTGCCACCAGGAAAGCCCTTCTATTATTAAAAATACGTTCAGACAACTAACAGAAAATATGACGACAAATCCACAAATAGGGAATAGTCTCAATAGAGAAATAGAAACTGTAAAATAAATAGCACAAAAAAGGAGAAAGAAGAGAGCAAGGGAGAGAGAAGGGGAAGAGAGAGGAAGAGAGGGAGGGGAGAGGGGAGAAGAAACTGTAGAGTTGCAAACAAAAATGAAAATGAAACACTGATTAAGATGAACTCACAAGCAGATCTGAGATGGCAGGATAATAGCCTACAACAGAGTAATAGACACTGCTCAATGCAAAGAAGACGGAGAAAGATATTAAACACAAATGACACAAAATCCTGTGAGAGAATATCAAGATCCCAACCTAGAAACGAGAGTGCCAGAAGGAGGACAAGAGAGTAAAAACAAATATTAAAAGACACAGCAGTCTAAAATTTCCCAAATTTGATGAAAATCGTTAACTGATAAATCCATAGCTTCAGTGAATGTCCAGTATGATAAACACAGTAAGTGCCACCCCTACACATGGACAAACCCAAAGCCAAAGAGAACATCTTGACAACAGTAAGAGCAAAGTGATGCATCACATACAGGAGAACAACAATATAGTTAAAAACCTACCTTTCATGTCAAACTATGGAGACCAGAAGGCAGTGTAATGACATATCCAAAGGGCAGAAAACTAGCAAGAAAACTGTATCCTGGGAAACCATTTTTCTTTTTCTTTTTAGCCGCGCCTCACAGCTTCTGGGATTTTAGTTCCCCAACCAGGGATCAAACCTGGGCCCTTGGCAGTGACAGAATGGAGTTCTAAACATTAGAATAGCAGGGAATTTCTAACACTGCTTTTCAAAAGTGAAAATGAAGAAACAAGTCACAAAGGACCATACACTGCATGATTCCATATATATATGAAATGTCCAGAACAGGTAAATCTATAGACACATAAAGTAGGTTAGTGGTTGCCTAGAACTAGGGAGAGGAATTTGACAGGGGGTAGGGTGGGTAATGGATAAGGGGTGAAGGGTTTCTTTTGATTGTAATGGAAATGTTCTAAAATTGACTATAGTGATGGGTGCATAATGAATATACTAAAAGCCATTAATGTTATCTTTTAAACGAGTGAACTGTATGGTATACAGTTAAATCTCAATAAAGCTGATTTTAAAAACTGAAAGATAAAATCATTCCCAGGTAAATAAAAACTAAGAGATCATGTTCCTGGAAGACTCTGCTCTACAGGAAATACTAAAAGATAAATCTTTTATCCTTCAGCATAAGAAAACAATACCAGATGGCAACTTGGAGCCACAGGAAGGAAGAATGTTGACAATGATCTATATGGAGGTAAATATAAAGTGATTATATGAATATAGTTTTTCTTCATGTCTTAAAAAAATTGTAAGGTTGTTTATTGTAAGACTGTTTAAAGCAACAACTAAAAGATTGTACTGCTGAGTTTATAACATATATCCAGTTTGTGTCTCTGGGTATTTATTCATAAAGAGGAGAGAAATATGGAACTATGCTGGAGCAAAATTTCTATATTTTACTGGAATTAAGTATGGATTAATGTAAAATAGATTGTGATATGTGAAAGATACTGAAATACATAGAACAAACACACATAGACACACACACAATTGACAGAGGAACTTAAATGGTACACTAAAAAATATTTAGCACAAAAGAAGGCAGTAAAGAAAAAATGGAGGGGAACGAAAAAGACCTGAGACATACAGAAAACAAACAGCAAATGGCAGACATACAGCCAACAATATAAATACTAAGACTTAATATAAATGTATTAAACAGGCCAATCCAAAAGCAGATTGTCAGACTGGGTAAAAAAAATAAAAACCAAAATCTAGATATATGCTGTTTACAAGATATACATTTTATTAATAATCAGACATAAACAGGTTGAAAATAGAAGAACAGAAAATACATACCAAACAGTAACCATAAAAAAGCTAGATTGGCTACACTAACATCAGACAAAATAGACTTTAAGGTGATATTTACTAGAGATGAAAAGGCACTTTTCACAATGGTAAGAGTTAATTCATCAGTAAGATACAGTGATTATAAATATGGACATTTATTGTAAGTATAGATGTATGTGTAGCCAAAGGCAAATATCTGAAGAAAAAATTGACAAGGTTTAAAGGATTAAACTTGAAAGGATTTCAATATTCCTGTCTTTGATATCACAAATAGAAAATTAGGAAAGATACAGAAGACTTGAACAACATTAGTAAACCAACTGAACTGAGTACATAAAACAGTCCACCCCAAAACAGCAGAATGCATACATATCCTTTTCA